TGCATCTGACACAAAACTAATCACACCCACAGAGATAGCACACACTGTATGTCCAAGAAACAATGGGACCAGGATAGAAAAAAAACCCTTTTAGAATTCTCCCCGATGTGGACAGACACCAAATCATCAGTTTCAGCAAACAGGATGAAGCATCAACCCTGATTTTGCCTGACAGAGGCTGAATAGACACGTAGAAGCACTGCTTGCTAAACAGTTAACTTCTAGAATAGAGCAGCAGGGATGGAAAGGGCTAAGAAATTATGGCTGAGGATTTAAAGATGCAATATTTCTTTTCTTAGTTTAGAGACCACCTTAATGCAGCTGCAACTGAATACACCCAATTAAAAGCTCAAGAGTCACTACAAAAATAGTAATAAAAATCAAAGCGGCAGAGTTCTCCGCTTCCCAGGTCCAGTGCTTAAGTTCAACAGACTCCTCCCTTTTTCAGTTAACTCTTAAAAGTTCCTGATCAGGTTGAAGCATATTTGCAGACAATGGCTTACAGTAAGGCAGACAAGTGGTAGTTCTCTCTGAAAGTGCGTGACTGAGAACGTCGCTTGCCACAAGAATGCCATTTGGGTACCGAGCGCCTCGCACAGCCCACGCGCTGCCAGAGCTGCGGGTACGATCCTGGAGGTGCCGCGCAGAGGACAGTCCACACCACGGTGGTCTGGGTATTGGGTTAGGAAGTGTGCACAGGGTAATTTGTTTTTTAAACAACACCCTGAATTGCAGTAGCGCACTGCTCAGCTCCCTCCTGAGACAAACCTTGATCTTGAACACTGCATCTTTAAATATTTCTGGCTATGAACTCCTGCCACATGTTAGGAGCACTCCAACCTGGCTGCCACATGTTCAAGTGCTGCGCTTTCTGTGTGTGTTTTCAGCTTTCCTTCAATGTGGGGGGAAAAGGGGGCAGAGTGGGGACAAGAGGCTTGCGTTTCACAGCAGACAGACTCCAGCTGAAGGTCTAGACCCCTCCAGGCAGATCACAGAAGGGAGACAAAAATAATAATTAGGGTGCTTTCTCCTTTCAAGAACATTCTCTCATTCCCTCTCATTTGAAATTGGATGCAGTGATGGCAGCAAGTTAGGAAAGTCAGCAAGTTTTAAAAGGAAAGCGTTAAGGGAGAGAGGAAGCTTTGCTGCCAAGTCACCTAACTGAGAAGAGCAGACAAGTTTTCAGCTTCGGATTTTTGTAACTCGAACAAGATATGTACAGTACTGTGCACACCTGTGAACAACTGAGCTGCGCTCGATTCCTTCCTGGTCGCTGCCCGCCTTTTCAACAGTCAACAGATATCATGCTCACGAGAGCAGACAGCACATCGTGAACACGTCAGGGTGTGTTTTCAAAAATAACAGCACTTCAAATAAATTAGAAAAGTGCAACTGTTGTGAGAGCTATGAAGCAGCAGCTGAAAACCTTGTGGCAGTCTGAGCTGTGATCCACTCTGATCACAGGAGATCTACGCAGGCCTGTTCTCCTACGGGCTTCACTGCCCTCCTGAGAAGGAGAATTATGAATAAGAGGCCACCCCAAGGGAGCAGAAAGCTGCACCATCCGCAGAATGAACACTGCCATGAACCTGCTAATATGGGTTTCACTTTGAGACCAGAAAACTGTTTTCTTCCAAAAAATTGTTATTTTTAAAAAACTGAAATTAATTAGGGGTAAAACACTAACTCTAGTGCCATGAACAGGCAGGATCAACTTTTTTCCCCTCCAAAGGGCAAAGAGTCATATACCATCCCCAGCTGAACCTTGGTGCTTCGAGCTTTTCAGGAGATGTTACCTAAACTTTATTAAAAGAAAAAGAACAATGTTTAAATATCAACACTGGACTAGCCCAGTCTTTTTCCAAAGTCCACATTCTTCATATGAAGCACACACGGCGTCCTGGATTCCCCAAGGCTGCATGTTCAGAAGTTCACAGTACATGGAACCATGTCTTTCTGTATTTTCTTGAGTTTCCCCTCCTTGCTCAGAGCAGCCACCCTTTTGTGGTCATTTAACTGGATAAACCTCAAGCCATCTCCTATCCGCATGGCTTGGCCTAGATGCCGAAGGTTTTCTTGATGAGAGTTGATGTTGTCATGCTCTATGGATGGAAAAAAGCAAGAGAAAAAAAAAGCACCTGGTACAGGTTTCTTGAGACCCTTACGGATTCCTCTACTCCAAAGCTGTTTCTGAAAGTCTTTTTGCCGGTTTCTCAAGCAGTTTTTGGCCTATTACTCTGTCTCAGTTTGAAGAGCTGTTATTGGATGATCCAGAGGTTGATGCAATTGCAGCTCCAGCTGGGCTGCTCGTGGATACAGATTTGCGGATGTGAGGCAGCAGGTATGGGTCACAGGCCAGCTGCTGGACATCTATCCGATCCTCCTTTCGGTAGGCCAAACAGCGTCTGATAAATGCCTGCAGATACCCCGAAGGCAAAACAAGAATTAGTAGATGGACAGAAACAGGAAGCTTTCTTTGACAGATAACTCTTTGGGCGCAGGGCCAACCTGACAACCCCAGCGCTGAAATTCCTTCCCCAGCGACCACAGAGACAGCCCAGCTCCTACACCAGAAGCTCATCTTTTATCAGGAGAAAGCACGGGCAGAGGCACACACTGCACACTGTTCAGTCCTCAGCCTGACAACTACAACAATGCACAGCCACTGACCGCTCTGCGGGAGGCACGCGTTAAACACAGAACTCCTGCTGATTTTAGGGAAACCAAGAGGACGGGACTGGCAGTGCCGATCGCTGAGACAGACAGACACAGTGCGATCAAACTCGCTGCAAGATTTACCTTTGCTTCTGGCGTGACTACTGGCTTTGGAGGGAACTGCACCTCGGTAGCTTTCAGAATTGTGTTCTCCTGCAGAATATCTTGTTGTGACTGGTTGTGACCAAAGGGCTACCAAAAAAATGGAAGACAGTTGTTAAAGGCTGGTGACAGGCCTTAAAAAACCCGTAACGCTACTGTTTATCATCACTTGACATCAGCATTTTTCCAGGCAAGAAGCCCATGAATGCTGTGAAGGCGCTGCAGATTCCAGCCAGGTGACCAGGACACGTTGCTCCTGTGCTTAAACTGAACAAAAAGGACCAAGCTGGAACATGTCTGAGGTGTCTCCGGCTTGGGAGGGATCTCCACCTGCTTCCAGACCTCACAGGTCAGCTTCAGCACGTGCAAGAGGGCCTTCATCTATCTAAGCTGACAGGAGATTCACCCGCTTCAATCTTTGCTGGGCTGGTTCCACCGTTGGTCTGACTGACAACACTGAGACCCCAGTGTTTGTCAGCCCAGGCTTTCACAACACTTGGTTACCAAGGACTCGTGAAAACAAGGAGCTGATGGAAACCTTTTCTTGCTCCAACTTATTTCTTCTGTCATCATAAAGCAAATTACCTTTTCTCAGCACAAACCATCTTTTCCTGATCCAGACTCTCCCCTTCCAAAAGCCATCCTAAAAATTCCTGGAGTGGGTCTTTGTACCTACTTTTTTGTTTGTTTGTTTTTTTCTAAAACACTTGCAGCCATCAAGCAGTATCAGGCTTGACAAAGACTTAGTGCATTGAAAGCATCACAAAACAATGCCAGACCAAGAACCTCAGGTATGTAGCCCTGAATGATACACTTGTCCTGCCCACAGTAGCCTCAGTGGGAACGTGCCCAGTGGAAGGAGCTGTTCCGCAGAACATTGCTTCTGAAGGAAACGCCACACAGAGCAAAACACAACCTAGTGAATTCTCCCCACTTCGTTAGCAAGGACTCTGCCTTGGAACTGATGGCAAGGAGAAAAGGTGGAAGCACCTTCTAAGCCTGGGGAGGAGAAGGAAGCAGAAGCCAGGGCTGCCTCCCAAGAGGTTTGGGAATCACCACTAAGAAAGGAGTTAAATGCCTTCTTACCTTTCTGCCATAGAGACACTGATAGAAGATGACTCCCACTGACCAGACATCAACTTTATTTGAAATCTTTGGAGGTTCTTTCCCAACCACAAAACATTCTGGTGGCAAATACCTGATTAGAAGGAAGTGACAACAGGTTATGAGCAGCATCTCCAATTACTTTTAGCTATTTTCTTTAGAAAGAAAGGAACAAGCTTCTGTGATCAGATATTGGCTTGGGACTCGAGGGACCCAGTTTCATTCCTGTGCATCTTTGGGCAAAGATCACCAACGCATGCCCCTTCTGGGAACAGTGATCCCAAGGACTCTCCAGACACTTGTGGTCTGAGCTTGTGTCAGCACAGTTTCTTTTCACCAGAGCACATAAAATAATCCCATTTCCTTTTATCTTCAGAACTGGTATTTGTTGTTAAAAGGGCTTGACCAACTATTCCACAGTAGAAACACACAGCCAAAATACATATTTCTAGAAATACAATCCCAGATGCCACGTCCTAGAGACACTCAGCCTCGCTCAAACTACAGCTAGTTTCATTTTTAGGCATAGAACAAAACTGTACAATACAGAATGCCTTAACAAATGTTCCTGTACAACTGTTGCCCATAGTGACAGTCTGCAGCTTGGGTAATATCTAAGAATCACATTCAGTGGCACTCACCGTAGGTCTTGCTCTCAGCCATGGGTGATGCAGTGACAACACTTGGCACTGAGGATAAGGTATTGCTGAAAACATCTTTCACATGACACTCGAAAGCGAAGCTCTGGCTATAGACAGCACTGCGAGATTTACACCTTTTGCAAGAGCTAACTCTGGATTTTCACCTCCTCATTTCAGTGGAATACTCTTTCCATCTCCCTGATGTACCTGAATTTCCACATAGGCATGGTATTCTCCTCCTCCTTGCTTAAACTATTAAGACAGTGCCATTATGGACTGTGAAATAGCAGCCAAGCTCCACTCCAGAGCTCGCTATTCTCAGCAGCATGCAGCATATGCAGTTTTTCACCAGGCCCTTCGGATAAGAGATGGTTTTCAAATGTATAAACACTAACCCACTGAAAAGTAAAAAGCTGCCAGCCTCAAAAGGAGCTGTGTGACAACAAGAGCAGTTTCCAGGGTCTCAAACCTCCAGTGTCTCAAGCTGTCACAGACAATGGCAGCACATACAGAGCTGACACAGATCCAAAGCTGTTTATAAACTGTTCTTGATCTGTAACTTGCAAGTGCCCCAGGCGACGCTTACCAGTAAGTACCAGCCCCCTGCGATGTCAGTTCCATGCCATCAACAGAGTTGTAGCTGTCATCATCCATGATTTTGGAAAGTCCAAAATCTGTGATTTTTATCTCTCCACATGCAGTACCATTGACTAGAAGAATGTTACCTAAACAGAGGAAGGAAACAGCCCCTTAGAATACACATCTAGCAGGAAAAACCAAGAATAAAATTGCATTGAACTCTGGCACTCTGCACTAGAGGACAAGGAACCTACACAGTGAGCTGCAGCAGCCTGAGGTAGATGTTTTAATGTTCAATACGCTGAGCTCCAGAGACAACTCGGCTCCCTGCAAGTGCTAGAACTGATCTGCCCATCCTTGAGTGACCCAGTGGCCTGACATTACTTGGAGCCTCTAGATTTTGAGCCCTATTAGCCAAACGAGCTTGATGCCCATGCTGTTTTGACCCCTCCCAAAGGTCCTGTTGGAAGGGCAGGTCAAAAAGGAGGATCAAGGAGAGAAGTACACATACACAGTTATGACTCATTCTGCCCAGAAGTCCTGACTTGCCCTGGCCTCTCAACAAGCCAGAAACTCTCTCCTCTTCCTGGCAGCGCTCCCCAAGTGACTTTCTAAGCTCAAAAAAGACAATTACTGCTTAGGCAAGAGTCTTTCACAAATCCATCAAGGATCAAGAAGTCAGATCATCGCTTTTTCTCAAAGCCTACAATAAAGCATCAGAATCGTGCGTGATGGCAGTAGATGAATCACAGCTTTAGACAACTGTAGGCAGAGCTCTGCAGAATGCTCAGACAAGATGAGAACAGTCAGCAGCTGGGGGAAGAAACAGGGTCACTAGAACTAGTGCAACAGCACCACCTCCTGTACAGATTCCTCATGCTGATGCAATAAACCACATCACATAGCAGTTACACAATGCTGATGAAGTGCCACCAGTACAGGGAGACAAGCCAGGGATAACTGCCCGAAGAGGTGGCCGAATTTTACTGGACTAGGAAAAAAAAAAGCTATGTAGCCACTATGCATCGCCCCAAAAAAGAGCACTTCCATTTTTCCCCTCATGACTCTGCCCCATGCTAAAGGGAAATCTGCAACAACCTTTGGAGAGGACCTTCTAAATGGCAGATGTTACTGGATTCAAAGGCAGACCTGAGCAAACACAGTTTCACTCTATGTCTTCAGCTTTGTGAGCTGCCACGCGATATGAACAAACAAACACTTCCAAGTTAGCTTCTGCCATCAAATTTTCAGGCAGATGATTACAGAAAGAATAAACCAGAAGAATGGGAACATGAAACACACTAGTAATTATGGGGACCTTTATGAAGCAATAACAGAAGCTCTCAACAGCAGAATACAAGCAGGACATTAAGAAACCAAAACACAGACACTTGGTGGTTCAAGGGCTCGTTCTGAACAAGGAGGCTACTTTTTCTGGAATGTTACTTCCTTGTTTTATGTTGCAATACTGGGAGACAATACCCTTTTCACAGCATGTTCTATGCATTTTAGTTTTTCCCTTGTTGCAAGTCAGTTTTCCCAGACAGCCCTGTCTCCTTTGTGCTGTCTGACCAAAGTAAACTTCCCCATGTTACTTATAACCCATTACCTTTAGTTAGCATCCTTAAGCACGTCAGCTAGCAGCACAGCATACCTGGTTTAAGGTCATAGTGTATGATGGGAGGTTTGATTTCATTTAAGTATTTTAAAGCATTCACAATCTGCATGATAATGGATCGCGCCTCTTTCTCCGACATTAACTTGTGCTGTTTCAGGTAGAAGTCCAGATCATTTCCCTCACAGTATTCTAACACTGTACAAAACCTGAAGGCAAAACAGTAGTTATTGTAATTAAGGCACCTGAGAGAAACCAGAATACTTTGTTATTGCTTGTCTGCAAGATTCACCTATTTGGTCAATTTATTAAATTAAGAGTCCTCCAGCCTATCAATCCCTTTCTAAAAATAAGCTACCAGGAACACAGTCCTCAATGCTCAACAGTACAAAGGTCAGAGATCCCCCATTAAGTGCTAGACCCAAAAGCGGAAAGCTGGATCAGCTGGGGCATTTGCCCAGGCCAACAAAGAGCAGGATTTACTAGTAAAGCACCACATCTGATATAATACAGCATATTGCTTTGTGAGCTAGCGCTTCTAGAAAGCCAATGTATGTTGAAACTGGCTCAGGTATCTCTGCAGTACAGTCTGTAACATTGGTGTGGACATTCTCTGGACTCTCCTAGAAAGTTTTAAGAGACCAAATACTTTGTCTGTAGTGAATGGGTCAAACCAAGTCAAAGGACACAGCAACATAACTTACGAGTCAGTATCCAGCGAAAAGTAGTCATATAGCTTAACTATTCGAGGATGATCCAGTTCTTTGTGAATTCTGTACTCTCTACATGCATGTCTGAAAATAGGAAAGTCTGAGCATTAGTCATACAAGTGACTTAATTCTAAGTTCTGCTGATAGCGAACCCAGACATACCACACAGCAGTCCAACTTCAATCAAACCCATGCACAGCTTAAGAAAAGGCAAGCAAACAAGGAACTGTGCAGAACAGTTCTTGAGAACCACAGAATCTGAATGCATCTCAAACACTGGCAATACTACAAAATAACTAATCTTGATTAACGGTACTGCTTGCCAAAATAGAATAACCTCATAATAAATTGTTAAGGGATCCAAGATGCTGAATACAAAAATCAGCAATTTCTAGAAAAACACCATGATGCTCAACAGCCCAACTTCCAAGCTTCAAATTCAGCTTAGTTTGTCCCAGTGATTTGCTGGGGAATTAAGATCACAGCTTTATCTTTGAAGCTCTGTTGAGAAGGCTTGGCTGCCATTCTGCAGAACTTATCTAATCCGTGGCATTAGGGAGCAAGTGTTACCAACACCAAAAGGCCTCCTGTACCTCCCCAGGCAGTGAAATATGTATGGTCCTAATCATCCGTGAAAGGATTAAGTATTCTAGGAAACAAAGGAAAGGGGAAGGCTTTCAGGGAGCACAATGCAGATGTGTACCTGGAAGATGGGCACGAATAACTGTTTCCCACAACAGCAGAGCTTAGACGTTTCAGACAGGAGAAGCCACTTTAACACTTTCTTCATAGAGCACTACTGGTGCTTTAAAACCTTGTGCCGTAGTGCTTATACAAAACTCTGTGTGTGTGCGCGCACGTGTTTAAAACATTTCTAATCTGACCATAACTTTTGCAAGTAGCTACTGGGACAGAGAGGGGCTTTTGAAATGTGGCAAAACACACGAAAAAAATGGCAGCCTGTTTACAGGCACTGGATAACCAAATACAGGAGGAGTTTGGAAACACGGCCATCTGCTTTACAGCCTTACTTACTTGTGATAGTTTTCTTTCTTCTCGTCTCTCCAGTTTTTATTTAACTGGTGTATTTTCACAGCTACATATCTCTGTTCTGTTAAATCAAATGCCTGCAGAGAGAAGAGCTGAAAATCAGTAGGAATCACAACTTCAAGTTAATACTGCAAAAGCAGACAAGCTCTAACAAACCAATATCCCCACCCAGGAAATCAGCATTACGACATACTGAGTGAAGAGCAAACCCACATTTTGATGTAATTAGTTTCACTAATGAAACCAAGCAACTCTGAAAACAATTGAATATTCTGTGCTTTGATCTGATCTTCCCTATGGGATCTAACTAATGCTGCATTTATTCTGACATTTTACCACCAGAGCTACAATGGGATCAGAAAGGCCAAATTACCAAAATACAGTCAGTTAATCACACTGGGAAAGACCCTGCCATTATTCCCCCAAGCCACCTAATTCATTTGCTACCTCAGTTAAAAAAAACAAAACAAAACAAAACATACAGAGAATTTTTAATACTGTGTTTCACACTGGTAGCTCAGCTCTCCATCTTGGAGCAAAGCGTTTCAGCTTATTTAGAAGCTGGAGAATTCAGTGGCAGAACTGTGTAAGTCTTGTGCTGTGTTTTTTCCCCTCCAGTTTCTTGCTGTTTAGGCAGACTTTAAAGAACAGACCATTGGAATTGTGCTCTTGGAGAAACACAGAAGTCTTTTACCTTGTCTGAGAGCAGCAACAACTAGTAATTTATAGGACGGTGTAAAATCTTACTGTAAGCAGACAAGGATAAACTGTGGCCATCTCAAAAGCTGTATACTTAACTCTTAATGCTTAATGCCAAGACCCTGGAGAAGAAGAGCTAAGCATTTCTTTGCTTTAATAACATTGTTATAACACTTAAGCGCAGTCAGTTATGAAGCATTCATACTCTCTTGCCTTCATCTGCAGAGCCAAGGCTTTCTACTTAGTCAGCAAAGCCTCCAAAGAGCAATTCAGAGTACTTACATGCAGATCACACTCTTTTTTCACTACCTGAGCAGTCTAGCCCCCCTGGTTTAGATATCTATTGTTGTACTTATCAAAATAATAAATCACTGGGAAGTTTCCAATATTTGCACTGCCATAGTTATTTTCGTTCTAGCCAAATTCAACATAAATTAAGAACTACTGGGTACAGACAGGGAATATTTAGAACTGGAAAGGCTCTAGGCGTAATAGTCGAACAGCAAGCACCAAAGTATCACCGGTCTTAGCCATCAAGAGTGCTGGCACACAAGTAATCCTCAGTTCCAAGGAAGTCCCAAGACTACACACACACACAGAGTCTGCTACTTCAGACTGTAAAATGAAGACACAAGAAAAAAGCCTTCTACCCCCAGGAAATGTAGGCTTTGCTCTTATTATTGGAACTATTTTCTCTTATTTACAGTGATATTCAGACTCGCTATGCCATACTCAATAAAACGTCGCTACTTAAGGTATTTGCGTGTAGCACTTGAAGAAACAAGTGGTTTGCTTCTCTGTCCTGACAAAACTTGCAGACTTGGTGCAACATTTTCTTGAAACATACATTTGCAAGAAATCTGACCTCTGAGGACAAGGACAGAACCTAAAAATCTCAAGCCTGCTGTCTAGTGTGCTTTGTCCTCCCTTCTTCCCCTCACAACCACACACACCACTGAAAAAACAAGTGTAAAAATTCTGCTTACTGCAATGTTTCATTGCAGGTTCAGATTACACCACAGATTGCCACTTCAGATTTACCTTATATACTTCACTGAAGCCACCTCTACCCAGAAGATGTAGCAACAAGTATCTATCATTTAGCGTTGGATGGTCTTTAAATCTGTCGAGAAAGACATGGTTTAAGAACGCTGACAGAAATAATGCGATCTACTGCACAATAAATTACAGCTACTACACAGCTTAGAAACATCATTTTTATATTAAGACAGAAAAAAATATTAAAACTGTGTAACGAGTGACAGATTTGATACTATTTGATCACTTTGCACTGATGAAAAACTATATAATGGTACCTTGATGCACTTGGAAGCCTTTGTTTTACATGAACTTCAAGTTATATCGCCATGCCAATTTAAAAAAAGATTGTTTCCCATTATGAAGGGGACAAATAAAAAATTGTTACATGTTCTTGTCCCTGAATCCCGTGTGCTTACTGTGAATTATCTTCATTGTGTATCCTTTTCAATTCCCTGATATGTAGATTTCTAACCCTCTCTAGCCGTTCCAACTCTGCCTGGATCTCTGCTTCTTCCTGCACAAGGAAAAACCAAAAGGAAAACAAAACACTGTATAAGATAGTGCAGTTAGCGTTTCCGCCTGATTTACAGAAACACAAATGTAATTCCACTTGTGAAGAAGTTATTGGTAAATAACTTGCTTGGGAGATTAGAGACAGTCATAGTCAACTAAGAGTCAGGTAGAAGGTTGACAGGAATAAAAACTGACTGGGCAGTTTTGTTTACACCTACACACAGACAGGAGCAGACATATCTTGTTTTTAACATTTTCTGTAATTAAGAAGCATTGTAGCTCTGGTCCTGCTCCTTCCCTGATTAAGTGCTATGCAGCTGTTTTTGTAATAACTTAGCCTCTGCTGGGACAAGAGAAAGAGGACAGTCCTCAGAAGTAAGGAACAGGGATGTCATGATGGCACATGGGGACAGGGCAGCATCCGGAGAGGATGGAGAACGTGAAAGGACAACATGCGGTCCTATTCGCGGTAAGCGGCAGAACAGGTCAGAGTGTAACTTAGTGCCGTGTGGAAGTTTTGATATACTGTTTATAGAGCTGGAAGTTCTTGTGCCCTCAAACACAACACTAGAACTCACATCACTGTGGACAGGGCTGCAAACCTCAATTAAAACGCGCGCCTTGAGCAGTGTTATTTGGTATATATGACTCAAGGGACATAGTTATCCATTTGTCTTGTGACTCTGTTCCTTCCCTTCTCAACTTGTTCTATTTTTAGGCACAAAGAATGAGCCAGTTTCCAAAAGTGGAGAAGGATAAGCACAGCTTCAGACAATGCCACGATCCGAGAACATTACTTCATTTTCCATTAAGGTCCATATTTGTCTGTTCCAGGGTGGTACACCCCATGCCAGCATAGATGGACCTGCAATTAATCCACTCTAGCAATGTGGAAGCTGTAGAGCAAGCATGCCTTTAGCATACTCCTGCCCGTATCGCTTATCTTTGCTCACAGGTCAATAAAACACAACGGGCAGAGTGCCAGCAGATTCCATGTGTGCATTAACTTTCCCTTGCCACCGAAAATAACAAGGAGTACAGTAGCATTAATGAGGCCTTGCATTCAACTTGTGTGTCAAGGTTACAGGAAAAACTAAGCACAGAGCTCAGGCACCACCTGAGAAAAGAAGGGGGACTCCAGCAATGCATTTGCATGCTTCCTCTTTGTTTCATACGGGAAAGAACACTCTCTGGCCTTAGCAGAGGTCACAGCTAACCAGGAAATGGCAAAAGACATCTAGTTTTTTTTCAGTACTTCATCTGTTGACGTGCCCCAGAAAACTTATTTATAGGTTATTGCGATCACTTTAAAGGTAATCAACAGCTTATCTAATTATAACCTCACATGCAGGTACAGTTCCTACTGAAGCCAATGTCTTTGAAAACAAATGTGCATTACAACTACCTGAACAGTACTAGTTTCCAAAAGCCCAAGCGATTTTATCGGGCTGTTACTTATAATGCTGGTTACTTGATATTGCAAAGAAATGGGAAAGTCGATGATGGTTGCAGTTTTTGTTGTGTTCTTATAATTTTCTGGCCTTGGTCCATTCCTTCATATTCCCCCATATTACACATATACAGAGCCCAGCGCTAGGCAGGTTATAGTGATGCATCAAAACAGTGGAACTCCCTACATGAAATCATAACTGTAAGGACACAGAAATCTATTTATTGAAACAAGGAACATATTTCCTGCATACCACTGCCGTGGAAAAAATTATTACAAAATCCTGGCCATCCCTTTTAAGCAACAAAACCCTCTCAATTATCAAACAAACAGTAGTGACCTCTCCAAAGAAATGCTATTATTCATAGAACACTGAATCAAAAACCTACCTAAAAGCCTTTTCTGCAGTTAGTTCTTACCTTCTTAAGATGACCTAGTCGGAGTTTGAAGATTTCTTCTTGTTCGTGGTATTCTGCTAACGTTAACCTGCATAGAAGAGACAGATCCAACGCATTAGGTCTCAATGCATGTGATAAAGTGAACAGTCTGCAGAACACGCATCTCCAGTGGAAGTGACAACTACGCAGAGTATGTCAACAGCCAGCAGGAAATTTTTTAGGTAAACTCTACAATCTATTTTTTTTTTTTTAATAATCAATCTAAAGGAGACCAAAAGCTTAAACTTTGATAAAGCACATACTAATTTCAAATCCAAGTCCCTAATAACACCTATTTAGGCTAGTGACTGACTTTTAACAAAGAAAGCTAAACCCTAATCTAAATATGGAATGCTGAAGCACAAGTATTCCACATCTTATTTTTCCATTTAAAGTTTGCTTTATTGACGCATTTTCAAATTTTTCTTTGTAATGAAAGCTAGACAATTCACCCCAGCTATTCACTCCAGGACTAGCAGTACACCTGGCCACAGAGCCACTAAAACCAGAGCAATGACCTGGGATTCAGAACTTATTCTTGTTTCAGGCTCTGCGAAGTGGCTTCCAGGGAAACCTTGGCAAATTTAATTCACCTTACCGTATCTTTGACCTCATGCGTAGTTAGGAGAAGCAATGGGATAAGGGGAATAATCCCCATTTTATATTGACGGTAAATGATGTGCAAAGTTCCTATCCTAGGTGGCTGGTCAAAAAAAAGTTTCATAGTGTTTTCAATGTCTTTTATAGCCAAAGCGTGCCATGTAGGACAGGGGCAAAGCGCAGCCTTACCCTAAAATAATGACAGATCCCATTACTTCTGAAATGTAAAGATGTGCCAAGATCTTTAAGGTTAGAAAAATGAATTGTTATATTAATTTTCTCCCTGCTACCGACAAGGAGTTTGGTAAAAGCATCACGCATGTGAACATAAAGCTAGGAAGCCCATATCAACCGTATCTCTTTACTTTGTAAACAAGATACACACGTGACAGCACATAAATACCTTTTTTGAACCTAAATTGAGTTCAAAGCGTATCCCAGGAGGATTCCTGTTGCAGCGGTTACGCTCCGCGTAGTACTTAGTACCAAGGTTTGTGTACGAGGTCTCCACAGCATCAATACCACAACTAGTTTCAAGAGGGGACTGAGTCCTGTGTCTGTGCAGGGCTGTGGGACCTTGGCTCACTGTACAGTAAATTGAGGGCAGGTAGTATTCAGCTGATTAAGTGCTCATCTTGAAATGCCCCAACTTCTCTCCACTGTTGATAATGCGGAGCGTCCGTGTAGTTGAAATAAATGCTGAAGCAGTTGCTAGCTGATAAATTTAATGCGAAGCTCACAAGCCAAGTTCCCTTTGAAAGAATCTCAGCCATAAGGAACTGCTTATTATTAAAGATACATACAAAACACAGCCGGTACCACAGATGTTTACATGTTGTCTCATTTCATATAAAAGCATGCTAATTCACACAACCCCCACCTTCCCCCTGACAGCCTGAATTTTCATCAGATTCAGCTAATCTAAAAGACTGTCCCAAAAGTTTAGGTCTTTGGTTGGTATTGCTGTATAAGGAATAAAAAGACAACTGAATAAACCAGCAACAAGCTTTCCACATATTCTCGTGCATAAATGAAATACAGGGCTAAACACCAACAGACTACTCATTAAGCAACAGATGTAATGAGTACCACCAGGCTAACTAACATTGCCCCAAATTGCTGCCTGTTAGCAGCAAGCACTACAAAAAACATCAAGGGGGCTCTAAGACAAACACTGCCCTGTTTCACAGAAACATGCTTGAAACACACTACTTCTAGTGCAGCTGAAGACTCTAAGGTTGCCCAAGCTGCCCTAACAAACCTCAAAAAGCCCCAGCAGATTAATCTTCCTGAATGAAAACCTTTTTCTCATTCACAGGCTAGAAACTAGTTTCAGGAGACAGCATGTTCAAATTTGCATCACGGGACCTTCCTCTCCTTTTTTAAGACACAGCAACAACCACGAACCAAAGAGGAATCAAAAATCAAACGAAGGAATTTGGCGATCTGCTTCTCATTCAACTTGCCTAAAAGACAGCCTCTAAGAATTCCACAAGAAAAAAACCTCCCTCCAAAAATCAGAAAATTTTGTACCTGATACACATCAGTCCAACAAATGCATTTACAGGATAACTAAGGATTAAGCAAGTAGTCAGTCAGTACAGTTGCTTCAGCTGACTTGCAAAACCAGTGCTTTCATAAGCTAAAACACTCCACATGAACCACATCCATACACGGGCAAGCATTATCAAGAATGCCACAAGAAGCTCTTCTAAACCACAAAGATAAAACCCTGAAATATATCAGCAAAGAACGATAAACCAGGAAGAAACACAGTAAAAAAAGACCTGGTAGCACAAAAAGGCTTACTAGCAAACCCAGGTAAAGCTAGATTACATCAAGGCACGCTCACAACATCGGCAGAAGCTCACTAGGTATCACCGACATTATCACGATTTCCAGGCACATCAAGACCTTTGCTGCCATGTCTGCAGAATAAGCCACACTACAGCTGCACCAGTCTGCTGGGGAAAAACATCCCTACAGAAATGGGGAAATCCTATCCCTTAGAAGTGAAAGGTTACCACAATGAACAGCATCGCTTCAAAATATCCATGCACAGACATTCAGTTTACTTCTCCAAACTCAAACGCTGAAATGCAAAAGGACGTCTTTAAAACTTTATTTCGTTGTTTTTAAGCTCACTTGGCCAGAACGAGGGGTGAATGTCCCTATTCAAGCTACTTATTTGCAGAAAGCACACAGTGCCCTCTAATACAATACACCGGATCAGCAGGCACCCGTATCCTATCTGGGGGCACTGCCCTGGCTGCTGGGAGCACCCCGAATACCACAATTCACCCAGTCACGTGCCATCTCTGTGCCTGCAAAAGGCAGCGGGAGCTTTTGCTTCACATGCACTTTTAAAAGATCAAGACCAAGAATTCAAAGGGCTCCAGGAACTTTGAGGTCAAGTCATGCCCAGGAGATTTAATAGTGCAAAAAGAAAAGTGTCACTGAGAGTTATGGTATTAGCCAACAGCAATAAAATGAAGATTGTAAAGGAAACTGGTAGAAGGTAGCGGAAAGTCTCTGACAACATATTTCCAACTAAAAAAAAAAAAACTTCCCAAAAAATAATGTTCTAAAGTTCTTGAGACACACAGCTTTCCTCTCTAAGAATATCAGGATGCTTAAAGCCTCAGTAACTTCAAAAGAGGTTGGGGCGGGGGGGAATCTTCTGTGAGAAGAAAGAGTAGCACTTCAACTACCTTTCCATTTCCCTGACTCAGGTATCTGCAAAGGACTGCTTTGGAGATACAGGTCAATGCTTAACGCCCTGTCTTTATAGGCAGCATCTTTTTTCTTCAGTATCCTAAATTAATTGTTTGAAAAGCCTCACCAGAAAGTACATGGAAATAAAGGCTTCTGAAAGTGTACATTTTTTTTCCTTAAAAAAAAAAAAGCACCACGTATCATACAGTGACACCAAAATCAATTCTGAAGCTGCAACACCACTTTTCAAACTTGATGCAACAGGAATACCGAAAAAGTTACTGCATTCAAAAAAAAGTTAAGCTGATATAAAGTCTGGACTCAGCAATGATCCTTGTTTTACTCCAATGAAAACTATTTAGAACTGCAGCCAGATGTTGCTGAATGCCAGGCTAATTCCACAATATTAATTTGTGCATGGAGTGAAGCCTAGAGGCAAGGGCAAGATTCCATTTCCCAGTAGATATTTTGTGCTCTAATCAAAGCATGCAGCTTGCAATGCATCAAGAAGGCCACGTAACCTACGTTTCATTTTCTGCTCCATTGGTCTTGTTCTTGCGCTGCTTCTGCTCATTGCTTGCTGGAGGGGTCTGTCCCATTGCAGGTGGCTTCCGTTTTGCTAACATTTTTCGTTGTCTTTCTATTTCTTCTCGCTGGGAATTTATCCTTTCCTGTTGCCTGGAAAGAACAGAGTAGAAAAAACATGAAGCAGGTAACTAATGGTATGTACTCCATCTTCTTCAGCATCTGCTCTTAGCAGACTGGAGCAACGAATTTCAAATCAGTTGTACTTGCAAGATTAGTAACAAAATATTTTTGTGCAGAAAAGGGGGATGTGCCAAACATTATGACTCAGATTTTTTAAAGGTATTTTTGCATAAAAGGGGATTCTTTTCCTGGCCCACAGAAACCTTTCAGTAAGTGAAAGGTTTTATTCATGCAGAGGATATCCAAAACCAAGGAGTTGCTAACCTCACGGAAAACCCAGGGATCCATGGTAAGTCACTAACTTTCCACACACTTTTTCCTAGAAGGCTCTGTTCTAAATCTCAGACTTTCCTGTTAAAACTCTTCCTGAAGTCTGGCACTGTCTGAGAAAGTACCCTTATACTTCAAGGGTATGGTTAAACTATCCTTAATTCTCTGAAATATAACCAACACCATTCCTAATTTCACTAAGAAAACAGTCTCTCCTCCAAGACAAAAAGACTATCTTAAAACGTTTTACAGTAATAAAAGCACTCTTGAAATTTTGGGTCTAAATGACTTAAGCATTTACATACTTAATCCACTTTTTAAGAGACCGAGACTGCAGGTAAATATTCCAGAAGTGTATCTTCCATGTCTTACAGCACAAACTAAGGAGGAATTATAGAGTCCTCAATCTGTGCCTAACAAGAACTGTACCTCCCTGTCAGACTACAGAGAAGTGATATGATTTTAAAGGATCACACATAGCTCGCTCTAATGCAATTAATTTGCCAAGTCCTACTTAAAGGTCTAGGCCAGGTGGGAATTTACTGGATATTTCCATTAACATCCTGCATAAAAGGGTCTCTGATCTTCATTTCCAGGTTTCTGCAGCCCCTTTGATCACTGTTACCAGGAGGCAAAAAAAGTTAAATAGTACGGATTTTCTCTTTTAAGCTTCTCTACTTTCTACTTTGAAAAAGAAAAGGAGCTAATTAGCCTTCCTTTACTAATATATGCCACTATGCAAATCAAATTGATTGACTCAAGATACAGGTGGGAATTCTGTCCACCTCTCCACCCTAAGCACTGCACAGCCAGGTAGGTGCACTGCTAATACCCAACAGGGCAGCCTACTGCTTTCCAACCCAGAGGCCAATTCAAACAATTCGATTCCAGTTTCAAGTCTCTGGAGGTTTAAGTGGAAACATATTTCTCACTTCAATGCAAAAACATTCCCCATTGTCCGTAGCTGAGTTTCTATCTGATCCTTTCATGCATCTGTCACACCATTCTCACATTTTGACATGCAAGACATCACACACAACCGCTTAGTTTTTCCAGCTCTGCCTCTGAAGTTAAAGACAACTCTGTCCTCACTTGATGAGGTTCTGGAAGGCATAGCCATCTGTCCACTGCTCGGTGAAAGACGCCCCATGTCGCACTGTAGTGAAGTGACCTAGCCTCAATCGATCCTGCATGCTCTTATCTCTGCATGCCATCTTCTCCTGTTTTGACTGAAAACAAAATAAAGCACATGTTAAAATATAAGCCATAAATCAGCACCTAAGAGCTATGCTGTCTTTTAAATCACTGCCAATTCTTACTGCTTTTCATTGTTTCAGTGCTGTTCATTGGAAACCCAGCTGAAAATCATTGACCAAATTACGGCTGGTGCTTCACACTGGTCTGACAGGCATTTGTTTGACTGCCTCCTTTCTGACATTTCAGCCTCACCTTTCCTTCCCCATTACTGCCTGGGGCAGCTCACCCATTCTATCATCAGTTGAAATCAGTCTAGCAGTAGGATTAAAACTATTCCTTTGTATCAGTAGCTTAGCTAGACTCCAGATGTGGCTCTGATCAGGCCCTTATTCACTCAAACACCTTGAATCACTGTTAAGACTAAGATACAGGGATCAGCCAGCTCAGCCTTAGACTCGCACCACTCCCAGAAGTGACACAATCTCATTAGGTCACCAACGTGCATAAATACCGGTGGTGGTGTCTGTCACAGAGTATTTCTGGCAAGTGAGAGGAAATTTCCACGGCCTGAGATGAGAGCAGCAAAGTTTCAGTCCATCAGGATTACAGGTGATCCAGCAAAGCTCCTCACTGGAGCTATACACCACCTATCTGAAAGCCAGGTCTATGTAACACCTAGCCCAGAGTTACAAATCCTCCCAGAAAGGGGAGTCCCATTCAGCCAAGAACAATCAGCTCTGTGACAAAATCACCTCAAACAGACTGCATGTACTGGCCAGCACCCTGGTAGTTTTGCCCATCCAGTGCCCACAAACAATAGATGTAATTGGCCAACAGGTGAAAGAGCAATCAAACCCACACATTGTTTAACCATCAGGAAATCTGGAAATCTTTCAACACTGAAGCAGGCTGGACACTGGTAAACAGCAGCCTGGCACTTTCCCCAGTGTCTTTAATGTGTTGTTTTGAGTGTTACACAAAGCAACGACCTCCAACTTTGCCATCTGAAAGAAGGAAAGGTCTAAATCACTTGCCCGTGTCACAGAGCATATCTGGCAATTTCACTGCACAATGGGATACTGCTCTTGTATTGCCAGAGCCAGACAATGTTGCTTTTCAGGTGTACGAGTTTCCAAATCAAGTAACACCTGCTGCATTTAGAACTCAGACTATTTCACTTAAGCAAGGGAGATCACTCTTTGAGACTGTGAGAAGTAACCAAACCAAAACATTCTGGACCATTTCAGCTTTAGGATTACATTCCTATTTGCAGAGAAATAACTCAAGACAGAGTTCCAGTTGTCTTTTATCACTATACCAAGAGCAGCAAGTTTTCACTGCTCAAGAGAAGATAGAGAAGTTTTCAAGGACATGAACTGCGACTGCAGAGATGTGGAAAGTCCCCTGCTCACCTTTTCTATAAGAAGCTTCTTGCTCATCGTTACACATCTATTCAACCGCTCCTTGTACTTCTCCAGCATCTTTTGCTGTTCATCTATCTGTCGTCTCAAATCGCAGTTGGCCTAGAAGCGGACAGAGAAAAGCCTTTGACTTTAAGCCACTCAAAGAGCCAAACTAAGCATCACCTAGGAAGAAGTTTCTCCAGCTAGCTCTAGGCATCAGGTTAAAGCAAACAAACCAGCAGGATAAGAAAAGACGACTAGGTTCCTCTTACCAAAATATCCAAGCCAAGCTCTTCAATTTTTAACCCACTCAAATCTTAATACCCCTCTAGAACAGGGAAGTGCTATCATCCTGGTTTACATATAAGGAACTAAGGTACAAAGAGACTAAACAGAAGCACAAGGAATTTAATTTTTTTTTTTTAAAGTATTTAAGACCTTGCCACAGCTACCAAGTCTCAAAATAGCTTAGTCATCCCTGGACTATCCTCGCTCTTTAGCCACAATACTGGCAGAGGAAAAGGATGGGGTATCTCCCTTTGCACATTCAATTAAATTCTTGTTCAAGTTACTACCCATCAGCCCCGATACACAGACTGCTTCCCAGTAACAGCTCTTGTTTCTAACACCACCACAGCGTACAGCAGGATTTTACGTGCAAGCGTTTTCATTGATAAAAAGTTAAATGTAACCATCTCTGTTCCAACCAATAGTCTGGCTTCTGATTAAACAGCGGATGGTAAAAAACCCAAAAGAAGTCTATTTCCTGCTTCATGGCTTATTTTCCACAAATCCACATGTACCTCTGTGTATGCCTCTACGAGCTTGTCTTAGCCCTTTTAGGTGCTGAGACCAGACACACACAAACACAGGGAGCCTTCCCTCTTCTCCATTTAATGTGTCTAATCCTTTTCAACACTTCACAAGACATGCCTCTCCAGCTGATGAAAGCTAAATCAATTAGAACTCCTCCATTAAGACAAGATCCTTGATTTAAAGGTATTTATCTTTTACTGAAAAAATACTAATGGGTTAAGAGAAGCTTTATTCTTTTGGTTTGACTAAAAGATGTTCTCATCTCTATACATTACTGACTCTCATGAATAAGCATTTCGGAATACAACTTCCCAGCCTACTGGGAGGCTACTGAACATGCTGCTAACCAAAAAGTAGAGTCAGTTTCTCAGTACTTAGAAGAGGGGAATAATTCTGAAGAGAAACATGTTAGGTTAGTTAGCAAAATACACAAAAAGTGTGCAACACAAAGAAAGGCCAGCAACACTGCTGAGGACAAACACCTGAGCTAGTGCCTAGCTACAATAACTCTGCACCTTATAGCCACAGTCACTGCTACACCGCTTGTGGATTCAAGCAGGCCCAAACAAAGTATCTACAAGCCAGACAATTATCTTGCAAGTAAAGGATGACTGGATTTCTTTTACGTTGCAACTGCTGGTTCTACAAATGGTATATAAAATCCTGCTCTGCAGCCTAGCTGCATTCTAGGCATCTTTAAATAGCAACTTTTAGAAGAGTTGTCCCATTTTAAATACTTACTCTTAATAAGTCATCTATCCTCCCCTCCTTCTTCTCCAAGTCAGAGTTCTTACTGTTTTCTAGTGCAGATATTTTTTCCATTGTGAGGTCAGACTGTAGTGAAAAATCACCACAAACCACATTTAAGAAAAACAGGTATTTCAGATAGTCAGCACATAACATCACAGTCTAACCTTCTCTGATCTCAACAGTCAGGTCTAAGAAGAAGGAACTGATCCCCTGCATCCTAGCAGTCAGGGGAAGAACTTTCTCCATTCTTCGTTTTCTTATTACATGGTGGGCTTCTCCAGCACAGGAGGTTCAGTCAGCTAGCACAAAGCTGCTCTGGAGAACACAACCTGGTAACACGTAACAGGCTACAACATCCTCCACGTCCTGCAAATTTTGTTTTTATAGTCGAGTTCTGCCCACTCCTTGGTGGTCTCTCACATTTACTATCCTTTCCTGCAGTGCAACACAGCTTGTACAGGAAAAAGGCTTAAGAAAAAAAACCCCACCAAATCCCAACCCATCAGCTGGAATATCAAATTTATGAGATCTTTTATGGGCACAGACAACCACCTGCTACACAAAGAGACAATACCTGTGGGTTCTAAGGTGGTCTTGACAGAGAACACAGGTCTTAGTTTTAAAATACTATAACAGACTGACAGCAGGCACAAGTCTTTGTTTCTGACAAACTGATGTATTAGCGCATACTAGGGACAGGTGCTTTACAGTTCTTGAGTGAAACCTATTTGGAGAGTTTTTATGGGGTGCAGCACATCTCAAACACCTTCACCAATGAAGTGAGAGTTATACCCAGGAACAGAAGACAAAAGACATATTCTTATTGCTAGAGAACATAGCATATTTCAAACTCAGTACTCTAATGGGTGGGGAAGAAGTCAGTATGTATATGAACACAACATGTAAAAAAACCCCAAGTCAACACAAGGGAATCTTGCTCCATGACTGCATACACATATTTCACATTTATGGCTAGCAAGAAGCTATCCTGGTTCTGAGAAGAGTTAGCACAGACTTACCTGTGGAGTTGGTATATAACTGTTCTCCAAATTTCAGGCTTGCCTGGAAGCTAACGCCATGAAGTAAGAGACAAACTTGGCGGACTGTTGCTTCTCTACATATGCCCAGTATAGGAAAGATCAGAAAGAATACCTGCCAGCATTGCACATGAAGCAAGATGAGCCTAAATCCCAAAAGACAAAGAGGAGGCCTGGGCAGGTCACCCCACTTTGGCCTTAACTTGGCTTATACTTCCTGACAGCCTGCAGGAAGCACGTGCGACGAAAGCTTTTGTCACTGAAGGCAACGAGAAGGCTGTCTGTTGAAAACCTAGGCTGCATCCGCTCAGCCAAGCACCAGAAAGTTTCTTTAGTAAGTGACTTATGTCATTTTGCCAAATGCACAGACATGCTTGCACCGTGTCAGATGAAGTCATGCTTCAGGTGCATGCTCTTACATGTGACTTCATCACAACTCACCTTGCCTCAGAGCACTTGGAGGGCCCTAGCACTGACTGAAAACGCTAAGAAAATCATGCTCGTGCTGACTTGCTTTTGTCATCACCAGAAGTGATTCAAACTGGAAGTCACTGAAGAGGTTTTATTTTTAACCCTATCAACTCCAAACAGGTTTGGAAGGAAAACCAAGAATGTATACAGGTCATCATCACGCAGTCAAACATCTTCCTGGATTCTTTGCCTTAAGCATATGCTACATCTACACGTCTGAAAAATACTACGAAGCTGAGCACTGGCAGAAAGCATGCTCAGACAACATGTCACCCTTTGCAAGGAAGATGGATCCTGTGGGCATGCTAAGCGCAGGAGACATAAAAACATCTTGCTCACTCCAGGAGGGACCACTATTTTAAGCATTGGTGTTGGGACAGCAAAGATCGAAATCTGAAAGTTATCTCTGGCAGGTTCTCAAGTTATGGCATCATTCTCACACAAGAATTCTCCATGCACTAGCAAGAAACAGGGATCTTCACAAACCAGCATTTTAACAATACACACAACAAACGTGACCCTAGTGACACAACAGAACTCAGAGACTTAAGCTAGTTAAGTATCCCTGGAGGTAGAACTGTTGTTCTTCACGCACAAAGAACTTGTACCACCTGCTGGGGAAACGGAGAATGAACTTCCCCCAGCAATAAAATCATCTCTGACACAGACTGATGTGAGAAAATGATTGACACAAAACTGATTGTTTAAAAATCACTCAAGGGAAGGGTCAGTCACAGAGAAATCAGAGATGAAAATCATAAGAAGATTAAAAGCAGGCCTGGAGAAGAAATAAGCAAGGTGCACTGCAGATAAAGCTGAACATCCTTATAAGCAACAGAGGAAGATGACACAGCTAAAAGTAAATTTTGCCATAAAGCCACAAGAAGAATCTTAACAATTTACAAGGCACCAAAAAGACAGCAGCACAGTCCAAAGAGCTACTCCTCTTCTTGACTCCAGGTCAGTGAAGTTGCTGAGAAGCACTGTCAGGAACACATCACATTCCACCTCGACAGGACAAACTATGCCATGGGTGTACTCTGCAGAGGCCAAAGAACTTCCAGCTAGACTGCGGATATTTGTACTGTAAGCAGTGTGGGTGCACCCATTACCCAGGTTTCCTTCGCATCTTCACTTACAAAGAGAGGAAGAACATTTAGGATACAAGAGAACAGAAACAGACAGAACTAAGGTGTTCCTCTCCTGAGCACATTTGCACACAGCTGAAGAACTGCCCACAGTATTGACACAGAAAAGCCTCACTAACAGATCAGGCAAACTCCAGTATCAGCAACTGAAAAGCATCCTTTACAGGATAAGGAACAAAGCTCAGAGTGCTTCACTTCAATCAGTAGTTACAAACTGAGTTGGGACTACCGCCCCTTTTCACTGGAAACATTATGTCTACTACAAGTGGCATCCTCTGGTGTGGAAGACAAGCTGCATCAAGCTTCAATCTCAATATTCAAGAGATGTATCATCTAGTGAGCTATACCTGTGACTGTTTGTGCTGGATGGAAACCTGTTTTTGGGAAGTGCGGGAGTGCTCAGTGTTCCCTGATCCGGTAGAAGATGGGCTGCCTTGCTGGGCCTGCAAAAGAAAGTTAGTGTATTGTTATATGCTCCTCAGCATGATCGCTAGTGCCCATGCAGATACACTTATCTTTACGTGGGAGGTGCAGCCTGGCCTGGGCACCGTAATTTCATGTTAAGGTTTAAGAATGCTCTAAAGATTTAGTTCATTAAAACAAGAGAGTCAGTTTCTTTCCAGAAGCCTGGCCCAACCTGCTAAAAGACAAAGCTTTTAAAAACCTGATATAATTCATGTCAGCTGAGATTAAGCGAGGCCAAAACAAACACTTCTCACAGCAAGACTATACTTCATTCTTTCGCTTTTTTGCATCTATCAGATTAGCCTCTCAGATGCTATTATTTTGATCTACATAAGATTGAATCATTAACTTAAAACTCACGTCATTTTATTAAACAAGCAAAGCCTGGGACCTAGAACTCTTCACAAGGAAGAGGAACTTACCAGAAGATGGTAGACTTGGTCATCAATAAACCAGGCTGCACTTGAACCACTGTCTTTGAGCAGAAAAGCTTCAAATTCCCCATCCCTTAACTACAAACATCCCTTGGGATTCAAATCTTTTCAGAGCTGCTCACCGAGACAAAAGTAAAACAGAGGCCACCTCCCCTCTGTGCCAGCTGCTCATTCTCTAGCCGCTGTTTCGCCAGCATCACCGACATCAGCGTTGGCAGAGCAGAGTGTTCCTCCTGCGGTTCCTTTGCTGTGCTGCCGTCTACCCCATACAGCGGCTGCTCCACTCGCCGCTGTAACACAGTCAAAAAAAATACAATGAACTTTTTTTTTTTTTTTTTTTTAAAAAAAGCGATTCTCTGACTCTGCCAAAACTGTTGTCAGCGAAGCAGCAGCTCAGGAATGGGCAGGCAGCATGTTGAGGATCTGATAACTCAAACAGGACTCCCGGAGTGATTGTTGCAATGGCAGACATCAAAAAGTAGATGAAGTTAACAATTTAAAAAAAAAAAGTAACAATGAACACACAGGACAGAATTCCTTGTCAGTTAACACACCTCCTTCCTTGGCAATTACATGTGTTTCAGAGCCACTGGGGCAAATAGGTTGTAGATGCAAAAATCTTAGTGCATTGCAACTTTGGTTAACGCATTCAAAATTACACTACTTGATGGTTTTTAAGGACTCATTTAAAACAGCCAATGTCATGGCACATTCGTTATTCTGGTGAAGTAAACTGAGTCGGAACTGCTAAATGTTAGCAGCCCAGCCATGTCTAGGACCCAGACTTCACGGTAACCTCATTTCTGTCATTATAGCTGGGACCAATCTCCTGCAAGATAAGCAGAGTACTAATGCGTTTCCAAAATTTTTAAGAGACACATTGCATCTTAAAGGCCAGCTCCTTTCTCCTGCAGTAGACTCATTTTCCAACTGCAATACAGGAATGTGGTTCAATGAGAACTAGAACCATCTGAGCCACATTGATTACAGCACTCCGAATCTCATTGCCCTTGCTTTAAAAGCCAGCCCATCACTGCTAAAACTTGGCAGTCTGGGTAATAATCATCTAAGTCCTTCCAAGCTGTAACTCTGGGCCAGGCATATGCCACATAGAAAGCAAACAGTCAGGTCAGGCTTCAGTTTTTCTTAAAAACCTAAATTGCAACCTGAAACATATTTTCTGGCTAACATTACAAACGTCAAGAGTGTGCTTTCTTCCCCAAAGAATGCTTGTATATTAGAGCGACCTTGCCAGAGTCTGAAGACCTGCAGATCATTCTTCTGATCAAAGGAGAAGCAAGGCAATTCAAAGCAGTCAAGAGATTTGAAGACAAGAAGTAACATCCTGAAGCCATTACAATTCCTCCACAAGTTCTGATTGCAGAAAATTTCCAGTACAGTATAGATTAACTCGGAGGTTTGTCTCATTGTGAAAGACATTTTAACACTCTGCTCTCTTCCTAGACCATACTGACATCTGTACTGGGTAAGATACTCAATCTTCTGCAATTTTCACTCATCCCCCCTTTTTTGGGGGCTTAGTTCAAACCATTGATATTCAGTTTGTAAGAAGAGGACAGATCTTGCAAATGCACACAATGGTTTGTTATGAATAAGCAAACGTTACAGGTTTAGCTGCAAGAGTAAAGAACAGAAGATAAGAAACACAAAGAGCGCCTGCGTAAGGAGAGACAAGCTGGAGAGACAGCTGAAACTAACTGTAACATCGGTCTTCACCACATGAGAAATACTCTGTTCAGACTTCTACCTACTCAATACATACAAGTGTAGAAGAAGATAACCAAAGGAAGAATCAACTTGTCCCATTATAAACACCTGTACAGTATCTCATCTGCTGAAATAAAGGACTGTCCCTAATACATCGCACATCTGCGCCATTCAGAGATGGTATTTCTTTCATTAACTTCTCTTTAAAGAGGTGTATTAGTGAATTAATATAAGATAGGAGGAAGGGCCAGTCAATTAACACCACATATTTTAATTTTTATAAACATAAAAAATGTCTAGACGCATATCTGAAGCTCTCCCTTAAAGCAGTATAACAAAGCTTCTGAAATCTAGCATTCTGAGCAGAGCATTCAGCATTGGGATTTAGTTCAGTACACATTCATGAACTGTGCAAAGGTCTCTGCAGAATAATGTAATCAGTAAAGACTTTGCATTTGGTTTTCAGAATACTAACCTTTCCCACAACGCTCTGTACTTTTGTGACACTCAACAAATGCTGCAAATTTTTAAAGAGGGGCCCAGGCAATGTTCAAAACTAGAGATCAGACACCACAGCCTCTGAATATTGCTTTGCTAGTTGAAAGAAATTTATTCAGCTGCTCTATGCTAAAATGGCTTAAAAATACTGGTTATTTCTTCACATTCAGATCTTGCAGAAATGCTGCGACAGCAAAATGGAATTATGTAACAAAAAATAGCAACAGATGTGCACGTATACACATTTCTTTGCAAGCTTTTGCTAATGCTCCTTACAAGTCACATGCACGTAAACACAAGTAAAAGACCTTCCCAATATCATTATGGTATGCACGTTTTTCAGTATATCCAAAGGGTCCAATCAAGATTGGAATATCATTGTACTAGTGCTATACAAACATACAACATCCTCCCAACCTGATGGAGAAGTTCATGAGCTACAATGGAATACAAGACAACTTCTATGTCAGTTCCACCTTTTAAGAACAGCGATCTATGTGGAAAAACACAGCATGCTAAAAACTTTCATCTTGCATGCTTTCAGCTCAGATATTCATATCAGTTACAACTGGACTAGCCACTGTTACAGCGTCCTAGACATGTGGCTGTGCTGCCAGAACCAAGTTCCAGATTTAAAAAAAGAAGAACTGAATAGAGAACAAGCCAAATCACTCACCAAGAGACACTTCTTTCCTGTTCAGAACCTTTTATTACCTGTCTGAAACACAGCCAGCAACCTAATCAATGCCACGCCACCAGCTCTGTCCCCAGGGAGAACACTTACCGGCAAGGGGTTGGATAAGGAATGCTGCGGTGATGATCTGGCGACAGGCGGCACACTTCTACCGGGACTGGTTCCTGGGCCGCTTCCCCCAGCAAACTGGCCAAAGCAACAGATTTGATCATCAGTAATTCCACAGAGATACTATATTTAAGTAAATTTAACAGAGACAGAAGAAACACATTAATCTTAAAAATGAAGCCTTATAGGCTCTAGGGACTCATTTAAACAAACAATATAAGCTAAGAGGAAAAACTTAAAATTTCATGCGCTGTTTTCAAAAATAACAGCAAAAGTAAGTACTTCAGACAAATATTTACATTTGCACTGAATACATTTTTCTTTTTAACACAAAAAGATATAAACCTGCACACTTGGATATAGATCCATTCTTTACTGTATAGAATGAGGAAGCCCATTCCCTGTGAGGAGGCGCGTCTAACTGCTCCACAGAAGCGTAAGAAACGTACACTTCCACTGAAGCATCTGTGCAGTCACTGTTAAGACAGGGTATGTAAGCAGCTGGGCAACTGGTCTAGTTGACACAGAAATTCATATGTTCCTGCACCAAACAGTGTACCACACTTAGAAAAAACTTTAGCCAGGAAAGAAGTAAGCACTAATAAGCGCTTAATTTCTGACTCCAAGTTACTCAGTAAAATAAAGAACAAACTTAAGAGAAAAGCTAGAGCTCTGGATTGTGCAGACCTAGAAAAACTTCAGAAACTATGCAATATAAAAAAAATACTGATTTTTAGAATGTCCATCACTGTTTTGAGGAGGGGTCTCTGTCTCCTGTATGGTGCCAGCCTTCCACGGCAAGCTTTTCTAAAGAGGGAATACTGTAAACAGCTTCCTACTCAAATCAGTGGGACCTTGCAGGTAGGTTCTTTTGCACCACTGGACCTGTATCAGAACAGGTTTGCATACGCAGAGGTATCCTCATCTGAGACCCAGGTTCCAATGGAAATCATCCTCAAACCTATACTTATGTGGCTGCTCTTTAAAAAAATTGCTTTATCAACTGTTCAAAGAATTGGTAATTTAAAGAACAACTTCCAAAAATCTCACATCCTCTACCTGATCAGATTTGAGCATATCAGGTTAACATCATCAATCAATGACTCCAGTGATGGATCAGTAATAGAAGTCACATTACACAGTAATAGAAGTCACATTACAGACTTCCATCTACAGATTCTGCATATTGTGAATTCAAGCAGATTTCTCAGACAATGCAAAGATCCTTACCTCAAAATAATCACTAATTTTATGTCCTCTAGGAGTGCCTTTTCCTAAAAATGAAAACAAAGGATGAAAATAAGAGTTGATAGTTTTAAGAACAGATGTTATGATGCCATTCTAAAAAACTACTCCTATATTTGGACACCCTGTAGCAAGGTGCGACACCTATCACAACAAAAGCTTCTGCACAACAACAGACTGCCCCAGGGTTACAGCTCTTGTGCTGTGGTTGGGAGGGTTTACAGTTGACAATTCAATTAACTCTTAATTCCAAACATGTCAAATCCAATCAAACAGCATTAGTACGTGCTAAAGTACTTAGAAAACACTAAACATCGCTGAATGTCACATAGGTTCTCCAAAATTTCCTTCAAGATAAGGACAGAGCAACGGGTACTTCTACTCCTCTGCCTTCAGGTAAATTACTGCATATTAGATCTCTCACAGGCACTCCTATAAGAGTTAGAGAGATAATTAGTGGTGGCTTAATACCAGCTCATTAAAACTTAGCCCTTTTCTCTTATTATAATATTATCAAAGCAGTTCTGTCAACACAATCCTCATTACTTTCTTGTTGAAGAATGAAAGAAATAGAAATCTGCCCCTATGCCCATTTGCTAGAAAATCTGAACTTGGACTTGAACACGCTGGGTTTTTCTCAGTACTCTGAGACAGCACTGCCTGCTTTATACTTGAGCACAGTTTGTTCTCTTATTTGTTGTGGCGAGAACTTACTCTAACAAGGCAGGCATACGTCTCAAAAAGGAAGGAAGAGAGTACAGCCTGTATTTTGAAGTCTGGCTGCTGTATATGTAGTGACGTGGGACCAAAACAGCACTTCAGAGAAGCCATATTAAGCCTTTGGGCAGTCTGTCCCATAAAAATGCAGTAGTTTGTGCGAATAAGCTGAGGACGAGTATTTTCCTGCCAATGAGGATAACAAGACTCCCAGAAGAGAACTACACCATCATGGAGTAGTTTATTACAAGCTGCCTGACACACCCTTGAGAAGAGCCATTAGTTTCCTAGGACACTGACTGTGCAAAACGTGCACAAATTACCAACCGTTCAGAAATCCTGCAGCAGGGTCAGGAGAATGAATTACCTTGACTGGTCTCATACGCTTCTGCTTTCCTTTTTCTATTCCGCTGGTCATTCTGTTTTTTCTCAGGAGTCTGTTAAACAATACTTCAAAATTAACATTTCTGCAGTTATTCCAAGATTTAAAGAAAATACCAAAACACAGTAATCTGCTCCATATCCCCAGTGGCCATTTCACTTCTCTGGTGCATTTGTTTCTACTGCTGATACTTAAAGAAACAACTGCTCTCAAATAGCTACTGCCTTCTGATATATGTGCTGCAGAAGGGAGAGAACACAATTAAGAATGAGGTTGAATTTTTTTTTTTTTTATTTCAGCTGCAGCAAGCCAGCCTCTACTGTCCAGTTACCTCACATGGTTAGCAGAACAAGTTCAAACACTTATAAAAACCCGTATAAATCATTCCACGGTGATCACCATACTGGCACAAGAGGAGGAATGACAAGAGGTTTGAGTACAGACATCCAAATTTGCAGTCCAGTGGCTACTCACGTCTACCAGGACAATTCACCTTGCCTGCAGCTAATGCTTCTTCCCAAAGCTCTCTGCAGATGACAAGAACTACCCTGCCTACTGGTGCACAACTGCAACCTTACACCAAACAAGGCAGAGCTCCCCAAGATGGCAGCCAGGAGAAAGCTGCCACAGATGCAGCAATTCATCCAGACTTCTCTCTCATTAAATTCAACGGTCGGTTGCATCTGCCATTTCCGTGAGCAGCCAGAGACCTGAGGGGCAGCTTATCAGTGGACAGTGATATATTTATGCACAGGCCCACTACAGACCGCAGGTGGGAGGCCTGAGGGCTCCAAACGTGTCGTACCTATCTGCCTGTACAAGGCTAGCAAGCCTAGACACGCGAGAGTGGAGGAGACCCTGGCATGGTGCTTTCCCCATCACCAAGGTCACTTATGTGGCCAAACCTGCTGAAAACATTAGGAAGCACTGCGCTAGAAGCAGCTTACTGAGGTTGCTGGAAAGAAAGATATCTTGTCATTTCCATCACCAACGTCATTTTAAAAACATCTCTTATCCCAAAGGGTCCCAACTAATTTCCAAGCTATATGCTTTACAATCACTGCAGCCACCACTAAACTATAGCCTGGGGGCAGGAAGAAAACCACAGTGCACAAACCACAACTCTGGGGGAGGGAAAGCCATGGCCAGAAAGTTTGTGGTAAACCTACGTTTCATGCTCTTTAGAAACCAAAGTTTCTAAACCAAAGTCCAAAGTACCCTGTTTAAAGATCTCTGCCAAAAGACTTGCACACAGTAAGCATGGAAATCAAGCTACCTTCTTTAGTAGGATAAAAAGGATAAAGCTGACCCAGCCAGAATCTAAACCTGGCTGTGTCCCCAGTGGATGCTGGACATCTACAGTCCCGTGTCACCAGCTGGGTCATCACCGACATGTTATTGCTTTGGTAAGAGGATGAAGGGATGTTAAGACAAAGATGGCTATTGTGTCTGCAAAGTACTTTTTAGAACGGGGGGACTGAAAACTCCATAGCTATCTGGAGACTTGCTGTACCAGCTCCTGTATGTGTAAAAGTCAATGACTTAGCCTCCTCACTGCGTAGTGAAGAGCAACTCATGAACAGCGTTGGCGTGCCTGTAACGCCACAGGCTCCATTACAGCCTCCATGGAACTGTAAGCATATTAATGAGATTCCATTTAAGTTGTTTTTCCATTCAAGTACTTACATAACAAGAATTACACACAACGTTATCTGTTACAGACTGAAAAAGCAAGGAATGGTAGATTTGATTAAGTCAGCTTGGTCAATTTAAATCACTCCGCAGAAGTTCATAAAAAAACTCCAAATAAAATAAGAATGAATACTCAGTTTTCCACTATTAACTATACTTATTTGTTTGGAGTTTAAGATATTGCATTCTTGAAAGACTTAGCTTCACCAGACACCTCATATCAGTACTGCCATATAATAGAGGGAAACATGATCCAAAATTTACCTGATAACCATGTGGGAAGTTCTTTAAATGCATAAGAAAATGCATTTAAATTTGAGATTTTGCCTTATTAACATGGAATTTTAAAGTAAAAATGTAACTCTACAATTAATTTTGCTGCTTTAGCAAGTGTTTTGAAATAGTTAATCCTAAAGCAGTGAGATTAAACAGGGACAAAGCATCAATTTTCACCTCCCCACACTTCCACAGAGCGATTCATAAAAATGTTCTGCTTTGTACAGACTTCTGCAAATTCACATATTTGATAGGTAAAGCAAACTTTTCCATTAATGCGCTCTGGCTTTTTATTTGGCCAAAACTGTATCCAAAACCAGCAAACAAATCACAACACAGCTCAGAACAAAGTCATAAGCTGAGCTTTATGAATGCCGTGGTTTTGGGGTTGGGTAAAATCTGCCTGCTACAGTGGGAAGCTTCAAGGAGGACCGTTTTGCTGCATGGTCCAAAGACTGTAGGGTTAAGATCCAGACGAAATACTTCCACTAATCCCTTTCACCCCCAAACAAAGAAGACTGTCACTCACTTTCACACAATTCCTTCTACGTTTTGAGTTCAATCATGTCCATCTTAAACCCGATTACCACGAGGATTTGTGCCTGCTTACCTCCAATTCTTTATCACTCAGAGAACCCACGCTGCACAAGCTCTGGTTGGAAGACTCACTATTTAATGGACCCTAGTGAAAAACAAGCAAAGACTGTTAGAAACAATTTCCATACAAGGCAGATACGTCCTATCAAACATTGCATCTCTAGGCTAACTACACTGCTCTACGTCACATGGATACAGCAGCAACACGGGTCAAATACCCAGACACATGATGGGGCATGAAAAACCTTCAGAAGTCATTTGGAGCAAGGCAGAAGTTGGCCTGCCAGTTGGACAGTCTTTTCTCAGTATAGTGATCCAGCCTCTGCAATGATATTTCTGTACCAATTTATATCCTAACTGCCCTATTTAACCACATACACAAAACAGCTAAGGCAGTATTTACAAAAGTCTAAGACAACTGGCTTGAGAAACAAAACTTCTGATTTGTTGAGTAGCAGTAGTTCCAAGCTCAGCTCTTCAGGCAAGCATCTGCTTGACCCTGGGCTAAGAATTTAGAGGCATCTTCCATCTGGCAAGGCAGCTATGACTGTTATCAGATGCTGGCAGTACCACTGGTTTTTCTTTAAATGCATATTTTTAATGCTTTTTTTAACACTAAGAAAGTGAACAAGTGAAAGTTGTGTTAACAGCAGTACAACTGGCACCCGAAAGACACACTCTCCCACTAGGCTATTTTATGGACCCATGGCTGACCTGCCAACAGAACAGTTGCTCCAAAAGCACAAATTCAAGAGCCTGGAATAGATTTACCAAAATAGTATCCAGGTACCTACAAGAGTCTGCCTGCATCTTTGCAGGCTCTACTGGATACACATCTGCATTTTTATGTATCCAAGCATTTCTGAAAATGACTTTCTAAAATCTGTATCAAAACTGGTTTTAAAAGGAAAGAAAAGTGAATCATGCAAAGTCACTGTGTTTTAGCCTAGTGCTCTGACACAAAAGTATCCTCCCACTGATCTATCTTAAGAAATCTAGACGAATTTGACAAAGATATAAAAACAAGATTCACAATTACTGATGGAATGTATTAACAGGAAGAATGACATGATAAACCACCTCTCCATTAATAACTTGTGAGCATCTTTTCCCAAAGATTCATTTTATTTTAGCATTCTTATTTTTGCAGTAACCACTTCCCACCAATCAGTCTTTCCTCAAGGCAAGGCCACTTCTCATTATATACTTGAGCAGAAGGCTTACGGGAGGGGTGGGGGAGAAGCCTTAACACCACAGAGAAATCCCACAGTAGATTACTTTTGAGGAGAGCAGTTCTCCCTTCCCCATTTATAAGACAAATACCACCATCAAATTAAACTGGTGACACAACTTCGTTATTACTAACCCCAATTTCCAAGTAGGCATCCACAGAAAGGAAAAGTTCGATTTACCTTCTGTATTACACTGTGAATGTTAACTACTAAATTTGTTTCTCCTAAAAGGACATGCTTAGTCACTTCAACCAAAAAAAAAAAAGAAACCAAACCCAAACCCAACACCTGAATAGCTCAAGAAGCTACACATTTAGGATTCCCTTTTAAAAGCAAACTACTTTAAGAAAAATTGCAGATTTATACTCTTTGAGCCATACCATTACTGCTTTACCTCATCACACAAATAGCTCAAGACCAGCAAGATATTTTACCTCATCTCTTCAGCAATAGTTGCTTTTTAAGCAAAGCAACAAGCTCCCCACCACCCAACATGACGGCTCACAAATCTTACAGGTACAACTCTTGGTTATTCCATGGATTTATTCCTTGGCCAACAGAACTTAACAGAACTGCCAACACTAATCTTAGCTACATCCACATGAAGGCCTCACTGATTAAAAAAAATGTAGTATCTTATGGCAAGTGGCAACAGAAAGTCAATCTTTTCACCCATGTAAAAAGCTTGTTTATAAACTGCACAAATGCTGTCCTCTAAAATCCTTCATTTCCTCTCATGAACTCAAGCCCCAGCAGCACGTCCAAGACATCAGCTTTCTGTGCAAGCGTGAAAGCTTTCTTAGGTGCAGGAGCATCTCAACAAAGTAGCATTTGCTGGTCTCAGATGGACAGGCTGGGGTTCTGACATGATGAAGACGAAAGTGAAAGCTGTCTCCGCATTTGCTTAAATCTTGCTGCCTCCATTTTGCACATGGATAGCAAATGACAGGAACAGCTGCTCCCAAAATGCCACATTTGAGCTTTTCAGGAACACTGTGGTTGAAAGGGTACGTCAGTGGCTTATGAAGGGCCAACGTTTCAGCAATGACCTGTATTCCAGGGTAACCTGGAGAAATAAACTGACGAGGCCGTCTATAGTTAGAAATGATCCTAAGATTTTTTCAGAAATACAAGTTTATCCTCCGCAGCACAAAAAATCCACTCAGTTTGCACCTGAATGTAAAGTTCTGGAATGCAAGCAGCTGGAAAAACACCTAATACAAAATCCACAATGTTTTTCTTACTTCCAGTACCACAACTACCTGTACCAACTATTCTGTGGGGGAAATTTACAGCTCTAGCAGTTGAAATCAAACCCACTTTTTGCATTAACAAAAGGGCTGTTCAGTTCTGATCACAGATTCTTGAAGAGCAAAAAACCTATTTTCCCTTTACTTTAAAACTTCTTCTAGAAACTACACTGACAAAATCGTAAAATTGAACTCAACGCAGTAGTAGAAAGGGCGAAAAGGAACGAACTACTTAGTTATGGAACCAGAAAAGAACAGCTGGTCAGATGTCTATAAGCATCCAGCAAGTTCACTGTCACGTGTATTAATACTGTGAACAAATGCAGAATTAATTCTTTGTAGGCAAGTTTTGACCCATTTCCACTGCATGAGCTTTCCTCTCCCTTGATGATCTTCTAGAGGGCCTTCCACTGTTACTTCTCTTACAGTAAAGGATTAGGCCTATCTTACAGGCAAGGAGCTGAAGCATCTTGTTCATGTCAAAGTTGGCAAAAAAGTCCTGTTTTGAGGTATTCCGGCTACGGAAACACAGATTGTTCATTAGAACATGCTGTACTCAAAGCAATAAACATGTAATACCTAGGATGTTTAAGGAACACGGCCTAGTCCTCAGCTGCACCTCTTCTCACATAGTTATGGAAGAGAAAGAAAAAGCAAGTTCTCCCGATCAACCAGCTAGATATCCAGTTTCACACGTAACCTCATGTTATCAACTGCTTATAGCAACAGGTTTAGACAATGGATGTAAGAAACTATACATCTGAGCATCTCCCCCTTAACAGTCAGTGAGTGCGTGTATAAAAAAAACCCTTCAAATTCATGTTTTATCATTCCTGACTGTTTATATTTAACTCAGCAACTGACATTGGATAAATGTTCAGTACTTAATTTAGCATACCATTATAAGTGGTCATGACACAAAAGGAATTAAAGGAACAAACCTGAATTTTAGAAAAAAAGCAAGTAAGCAACGGCAAAGAATACTAACATCAGAAAGTTGCCAGGGAAGTAGTAGCAGGGAATAATAAGCATGCAATAGTTTACACAGGAAGGGCTTATAAATTTTGCTCCTGAAGAAGTCATCTGCGCTGGCATCTGGCTTTTCTAGCATAGACTACTTTGGGATAATACTGCACTTCTCCGATATCACTTACAGCCCACTCATCCACTGTACCCTGTCAAGAGAATCGGTGATGGGGCTCAGCAAAAATTCAAAATACGTGGGTCATCTGAAATAAGCTAATAGTTTCTATAGTGTTTACCCAAATGACAAGCACAAGAACAGCACACACTTCCTCCTCCGCAAGGAATTTCTCTCTGAGATAAGCTGGCATGCTCTTTTCCCTTGTGATTCACCTATCAACTGCTGCTTCTAAGTCTGTGACCTACCTATGCACAACAAAACCTCCATGTTGAGAAGTGGATGCAACAGTAGCAGGCGCTTTCAAGACTCCTACTCAAAGGCAAGAATTTAAAATCTGTCCACTCACACGAGCTGGTTAGTCATTTCTCCCTTTGCAAGAGCCCTGGAAAGGCCACAAACGAGGCACAATTGCTGAAGTTTCAACAGAAACAACTTAGCCTGATAATAGCTCCCATCGGATCTTCCGTAACAAAGCTAGCCTGACTCAGACTGCCCTTACCCATCTCCTCTTCAAGCCTATCTACTGCCTCGCATGACTTGTGCATTTCCTCAGCCTCTCCTCATCCCAATAATGATCCCTCAGGCCTGCCCGCAACTCTTCTGTTGGGCAGTCTCCATTTTGTGCTCTCCAACTCCTCGTATTGAAAGAGAGCTCTAAGAATTCAAGCTGCCTAGCCAGAGTCTCCAATATGGGCTTACAGCAACATGCATTGCAAAATTCTCTTGCTAACTCAATGGCGGAGATGTGCTTCACTGCCTCAAGCCAAGGTAACCCAAATTCTTCCAAGTTCTGTAGCAAATCAAGAGATGTCAAAGGGAAAAAGTCAATCCTTGGTTTCACTAAAAGTTAGTGCTGACTCTGCACAGGCTTACACCAAAGTGAAATGGTTGAATGGTTTTCCAGTTACTCTGGTCCAATGCTACTGTATAAGCCAGGTTTAATTAACTTATCTTATTTCAAGAATCACATAAATATGAGAATTACAGCCTGCTTCTGAAATATGCTTTTATAAAAGCTTGGTATTACAGCCAATAATGAAATCCCCAAATCACCTATGTCTTTTTGCCATGAGAACTTAATCTACTAACAGATGTTCATAGGTAACCTCTGCTATATCTGATGGGTAAGCAGATTTGCAACAGGATTTTTTTGGCTTCCATGGTGCCTCGAGAGCTCTCTCAGGATGAAAAAACGGTATTTTTATTTTACTGATGGCAAACTGGACAGAAGGGTCACGCAACTCACCCTAACCCTCAGTTCAGGGGCAGAAACAGAGCTGAGATCTGACAACTATTTCTGGGCTCTAGTAGCCAGACAACACATTTGAAATAAGTAATGTTGCAGACGGAAGCATCCAAACAATTTTCAAGTACCTGGCATAAAGTCCTGACACGGTAGCTGATAAATTAAATTCTAAGTTTCAAAACTCCTATTAACTAGATCTGGTAGCATGTGACACCCGTTAAGGTCCATCACTGGGCAGCACTGCTTCCCTCCAAGGAAGACATGATTATTCTCATACATTAATTCTCAACTTTGTAACTTTGCTGCTAAAAATGTTGCTAAGTAGACCACACAACTGGTAGTTACTGGACTGATCAAGACTACTACAGTGACAGAGAAAGGGTAAAAACCAAAATAATACAAGTAAATGCTGTTCTTTTTTATGAGCAATCCTCTTTTTGGAGGCAGATGTTCTGCAATGTAAGTGGCACTCTTCAGGTTATTTTCATTTCCCTCTAAGATACCTCAAAGATGGAGAAAAGGGAGCAGCAGCTACCACCAAGACCAATACTTCTTCAATTCTAGCACAGTCATCTGGATCTACAAGATTCCTACAGCATGATAGAGAAGGTTACTCTCTCTAGAAATACTTCAGCCTTTTTAGTTTAGCTATAATAAAGTGGTGCACAACTTAGTCTGAAGATCTTTTAAAGACCAAACTTGTAGAAGATATGTGTGCTGCTGTGATGATCCACCCTGGTTAAGCCTGAGACAAGCTGTGTGCAAATACAGATTCACCCATCACAATTACCTATTCCAATTCTTATCCAGGAAAAGTCTGTGGAAATGACACAAATCCTTTGGAGTTAACCCGCCTGATATCTTAAAGGCAGCACCCAGACAGGGGGAAGGGAGGCAGAAGATGAGAACAGACCAAATTAAACAATGTTATCTAGAGAAACAAACTACATCTTGTTTTCTGTACCTACTGACCCAAGGAAGATGTCCGAGATCACTAGTCAGAATAATGCCTCAAGTGAATACGCTTAGATTTCCCCTAGTAAGTAAACATAAACGGAGCTAAATAAGCAAGAATACTGGTAGGTGTCAGATAGTCATGTGTTAATTCAAGGACTTGCTTTGTGAATTTGGGGAAGAATGGCACTTTACCATATGGCAAGAATAGACATCTAAAGCATCACTGGCTTTTTGAAGCTATCTAGTGACCTGGATGAACCACATGAATATAACAGTTGCCTAGAAACATTCCTTGCTCATAGATTTGATTCCATGTATTAGCTCCAAGCTTCTAGAGAAATATATTCTCCAGCTATTAAGTGCGATAATTCATCACAGACTTGCAACAGAATTTTGAGGCATTTGGGCCTGCAAATGACCTCGGTCATTGGGTTGTGCCTTCCGCTACCACAGGAGGTGACAGCACACAGCTGTTTCCAAAACAGTTTAGGATTTCTCTTCTCTGCTACTGTTACTGGAAAGCTCTTCCAGAATCCTGTGACTCTGAGGGCTAGGAGCTTTTTTCTCGTTTCAAGCCCCAAAATTTATTCTAGATCAGCGTAGTCTTATTCATTCTCAGAAACACGTATAGCTGTTCTTTACTTGCAAGCATGCAGGGAAGGTGGGCTTTAAAGCTGCAGTTGTATTAAGGATGTGCACTAGTACATTAGTTTTATACAGGTTCAAAACATACCCTGTATTTTTGAACATTAAAGAAACCTAACCAAACACACTAAGTGATGCACCAAGTCAGTGGACGGCAGGAAGCTCAGTTACGACTGCCTGCTGCTTTTACCCAATAGGAGAGCATCTAAGATGACATTTCTTCCTTTTATGCAATAAACAGCAACAGAATACCTTCTATCCCAGGAGGATGCGCCAGTCCCATCCCACTAGATGGCACTAACTTACCCTACGTAGCCTTCCTTCAACATTTAATTGGAGCGAGCTAAAAATCTTAGTTGAATCATACAAATTGTATCACAGCTTTCCCAATATATTCCCTTTAAGACAATGACCTACCAATGCCAGTGCGGAGCATGACGGACGGAGACTTGGGGGGGTAGGGAGGGAATTTGAAGCACCAACCTGGGAGGGAATGTAGTATCTGAGATTAATATTGCAACCGAGATTTGCTGCAACATAGTAGAGTCATGCCAATTCCTATCAATGGTTGGCTGATCTATTTCAAATTAGCAAGTATGCAGGTAAATAAATATATATTGTTTGAAATAAGTGTAATGCACTTCAACAGTTTACTGACTAATACAAAGTAAAACACTATACTGCATAACAACAGGTAAAAATAAAACTCAGTAACAGAAGAGCTTTGCTCAAAGCGAAGCCTCCAAGAAATGAGCCTTTTTTACTTGGATACGCTTCAAAAACAAAAATGAGTTTTCAATATTCACCCTACAGAGAAAGGGCATGTACTTTCTGCTCCAAACATACTGAAAACATAATTAAGACTTGTTTTCCGGTATCTTTTAAAGGTTATTCCTTTAAAAGGAATAGTTCTTAACATTCTTTGTGAGCATCGAGTATGTTGGCACTGTTTTAAGCAACGACAGTGTCTATGCTTCTAAGTCTTAGCTATTCTAGAAAGTTGTTTGGCTTTATCTATACTGGTACGGCAAAAGATGTTAAAGTGACATACACAGGGGAAAGAGGTAAGAAACAGATGAAAAAGTACATAAAAAGTCGTAATGTTGTATAAAAAGTCTTTCAAGATTGTAAGTACATTATGCAGCATAAACTTATATATTAGTAAAAGCCTTAAGATTAAACAAACAAAAAAGAGTTCTGAGTGGGGGAAAAGATCAAAACCCCCCCACACTCTTACTTTGGTAACTGACATTCTTACCCCTTAACAACTTCACGTTGCTCCTTCTTACTACACTACCTTACAGTTGAACATTTTACTTACTCACGCTCCCTTCCAAGACTTAACCTTGTTTGAGTCCTGACTGAAGTACAGATCAGAAAGAAAAGCATGAACTCAAACAAAACCCTTTTCCAAGTTCTGATTTGCTTTGAATTTTTCTGAGATACAGCATCTACAAAGTTTCTTCCCTAAATAATTCCAAGAAGTTTCTGAAAATTATCTAGCAATGATATGTTGTTTTACCATCTACCTTGATGTTGTCCAAAACTCAGCATCTTCCTCAAAAGTAAATGCCTTATCGCTGACCTAGTTTAAGATGAGTTCTGCCACCATTTCATTGCTCAGCGAGACCATCGATTAACACTACCAACAACATCTGGAGAAGTAAGAGCTTAATGCTAGTATATCAAGCAACCACACAATGTTATTATTTAAGTGCTTACTCGAGAAAGGCAGCTACTGAACAGTTATGAAGCTGTACGTGAGGACAAAGATGGGATTTTACTAGCAGGTTGTGGATCACAGATACAGGAGAGCTGACCTTCAAATACTTTTTGTGTGTGTGTTCTATGCGACCGAGTACACAAATTTAGCACGCTGCACCCACAAAGAACTGAATAAATTCCTGAATATATTAAGTCTGGTTACACGTTGTATCAAACGCAGTAAACTTGAAACTGTAACAAGTGGCCAAATTCAGTTCTCAAATGCATACTTGGAGAAAGGAAGAGACAGATGAGATTCCCACTTCCAAAGACAAAGTCGTCGTGGGTTTTTTGGGGGTGTACAAGCTGCCTGAAGATGAAGCAACTCCTAAGAACTTAATTAGAACCCAAAACCTTCTGTACAGCAAAACATCTGCTCATAGAGATCCCATTTTCATTCCTCTTAAACATACTTCAAGCAAATCAGCCGTCAAAACACAACTACTGATACAAAACATTCTTGCCAGCAAAGCAAAATTATCAATTTAGAAATGAAAAAAACAAAGCTCAGCGCAGGACGGATAAGCAGTCATGCCTGTTACTGAAGGTACTTATACTCACCTTAGCAACCCCGACTCCAGTGAACCTGGCCTCCAGTAGTTCCTGCCTTCGTGGGTCCAGGCTATGCAATTCTTCCATCATTTCTGCTGCTATGGGAGAACAACACTCAGATTATGCAATGCAAGGAAAGGAGACAGATTTAATATTCCGTGCCACCGATGAGACTCAAAAGTGCCTTTTCTGCAGCATAACCATGTAGAAAGCATTTTCTTGCAAGAGAAATGCAAGATTACCATGCAATAATAACATGACTTTGCCACCATATTACTGTATTTAAACCATAACCCTGCTGGAGAGTTTCCTCTTCTATCTGTTGTACCAGCCATTTCAAGATCTCTAAATCCAAGAAACCAATTATGTCACATTCTCCCACTGGATGCTTTATTAAAAGGAAAACATGGGACCAGAGCGTTGTGACTAAAAGCTCCAGAGCTTTTCATCTGTGCTGCATGACTAGGAGAAAAAAAAAAGCAACATTCTTTACCCCATAATTTATTTTTGGCCAATCCTGGAAATACTAGATCTCCCTGAACTCCAGATTTCACTGACAACAGCTTTGGTTCTTCCAAGCACAGAAAGGGATTATAAGAAGAAAATAACGCTCGCTTAAACCTTTTACTTTATGCAGTAAAGCATCAGATACCTCTAGCATAACAGCTGCTTCAATATACTGGAGGTACCTGGGGTACCTCTTGGCAATCCAACACAACAGATAACATTATTTGAAGGGTTAAAAACAAAACAAAACAAAACAAAACCAGCGTAGTTGTGTAAACAGGTTAAAAATCAGGAAATACACAATTTGAATACTGAACTGCAAAAAAAATGGGACAAATTTCAATGTTCATTATAACTGTGAATCACATCTTCCCAACTGCACCAATCAAGTTCATTTCCAGAAATGTCTGTTCCAGTTTCATTTTCTGGACTAAGGTAGGGGAAAAAAAAAAAAAAAAAAGGAGACAGAAGATAAAGATTTGCTGTATAAAGAGCATATGCGATGAGGAAAGTTCCTGAAGGGCAGCAAGTGCCCTCTAGAATAGGCAGTATACAATTGTTCCTTTTATTAACTGTCCATTTTGTCCCTGCCGTTTCCTCCAAACGCTGCAGATCTAAGTTGCAGGGGGCAAAGTGAATCCATCCGGGGGCATTTACAACTGCTCTCCCAAATCAGCAACAAGCCTCAAAAACTAATGGGATAAGAAATGCGGTTATTAAAGAACCCTATTTCCACTCTGGGCTTTAAACCCCCAACAAAGCTATCAGCCTAGTTTTCAAAACAGGAAATCTGTGCGCCGAGGAAAATGACAGACAAGCTGTGAAGGCAGAGATGTTAAAGGGCTCCCAGGTCTCTCCCCCATTACGGGGCACAGGGCGACCATCCGGGAGGGAATCGCATCCCCAGGCCGGGATGCCGGTC